GAACTGATTTATGCTGTTGAGGTTCGCAGGTTCCAAAAGAGGCACGATCACCAATCGGCAAAACACGATAACGGTTATGACATCGTGTGATATTGTCAGCACGACAATCATTAGACTATAAAGGGCGTGATTGTCAGACATGATTGATAAAGACAGTCTTCAGTACAATATTCATAGAACACTTTATAACAAAATAAATAAATTGAAGTCAAAGGCTAGCTCAAAACGGTATAATTTTAGCCTAATCTTAGCCTATTTCTATAGCAGGTTTTCCCCGTGTGAAGTTCCAGGGTCTTATTGTGGGGGAAAACACGAATAGACCCACTGCCTGCCCACAAGCATGTCGTAAGAGTCTACTAATTAGGAGCTTCCTTCGCAGTCGGAGTACGTCTGCCTGAGAGGCAGGGAACCAACAGACTGCATTCAAATAACTCAGACCTGTGAAGCGGATGTACATGAAACAGTTTCTGGAAGAGGACTACAGTCAAGAAGTGGACGAACAACCAGAACTTTTCCACCGGAGTTTACAGCCGGCGAACGCTAAGAAGAAGATATAGCAGGTTTAGCCGAAAACTACAGAAGTGAAAACAAGCCAACTAGCCACCGTAAGTTTCTATTTATGGCTAAAACCGGACCGTTCTATGTCGTCTTCGTTTATTTCCAAGTCTAACATATATTGTCGACGTTAGAGAAACTGAGTTGATGACAAAACTGCTCTTTCAGGTTTGTAGAAGGTTCTCTGAGTAACTGAGTTAGAGGCGTCGGCTGCTGCTGGAACAAACAGTTCAATTCTAAAATATACAAAGATTAGTTGAAGTTGGTGATTAAATTATATTATTATATATCCCGCCATTCAGGTGTTGTTGTTTTGGGGGAAAAGGCAGCATCAGCATGGGTCGCCCCAAGAGAGCAGGTAAGTTACATTATGATTATAATTAGCATTTATTATAGTGTTTTCAGTCGTAAATTACATTACACTTGTCAGACACAGAAATTAGTACTTTACACTAGTTATTTATTTAGCTGCTTGCGTACTTTATCATACATTCATTTTCAATATATAAATATAATGGCTCTACTGGCAAATCCGGACGAAGAATAAACAGACTTGGACGACTTAGTCAGAGTTATCTCCCGTCGCCGCACTCCGAACAGTAATCGGAAAACAAACGAAACAAACGACAAACTTACCTATCATCCTGCGGTTGCGTGTAGGGCTGCGTACGGTTGCGTGAGACATCGTGAATGGTTGTGTAGTCATCATCATGCGGTTGTTGGATTAGAGTTAGGGGTAGGGTTAGGGTTAGGGGTAGGGTTAGGGTTAGGGGTAGGGTTAGGGTTAGGGTTAGGGGTAGGGTTAGGGGTAGGGTTAGGGTTAGGGGTAGGGTTAGGGGTAGGGGTAGGGTTAGGGTTAGGGTTAGATGTGAAAATTTTGACGTAGGATTTCGAAATACTGACCGACAATATGATGTTTGTTGGAGTGGCGCCACTGAAACCCTGCCAAATTTGACGCCAATAGCGTGCGGCTGGTGCCCCCAATCGTGCGTGTGACCAGCATCCAGAGGCCCTCGATTGTTTGTTTGTGTGTATGGGACTGTGCGCGATTATAGGGAACTCCGGTGTCAAAATTGTCAAATCTAACGCTAATCCTAACCCTACCGCTAACCCTAATCCTAATCCTAACCCTAACCCTAATCCTAACCCTAACCCCTACCCCCCTAACCACGCAAATTTATCGATCATTAAAGCATACAAATCGGCAAACACCAACAAACAAAACACACCCAAAAAAAAAAACACCCAGAATTGTCCTGCAGCGTCGAAAAAAAACCCAGATCTGGGGGAAACAACCAAGCATTGGCAGCCCTGATGTCGACGTGACTGTCTTCTTTGTTTCGTTGTGGATTTTCCGATCACTGTTTGGAGTGCGGCGACGGGAGAGAACTCTCACTAAGTCGTCCAAGGCTGTTTATTCTTCGTCCGGATTTGCCAGTAGAGCCAATATAATAATTCATACAATAATAATGATACATCAAATTCATGATAAATATTGATATATCATACTTTGATGAATGAGAACCGTGCCTCTTCTCTTCTTCGCGTTCACAGCTGTAGACTCTGAAGGAAAGTAAGTTATGGTTGTTTGTCCACTTCTGGACCGCAGTCCTGTTCCAAAACGAGTATTGCGTGCCGTGTGCATCTGTTTTATCTGACTCATTTGTATACAGACTGTTGGTTCCTTGCCTCTCAGGCAGATGCACTCCAGCTTCAAAGGAAGCTTCCAATTAGGCGGCTCTTACAACATACTTTAGTTTTAGGGCAAGCAGTGGGCTTGTTTTCCCTATAATGGGGCCCCGGAACCCACATGGGGGTGAGAAAAAAATTAAAGGGAATGTGGGAAAACTGGAGGCAGCAGACAGGGCAGTGATTTAATTATTATTTTTACTGTAACTCTATTGTTATATATATATATATATATATATATATATATATATATATATATATATATATATATATATATGGCTTTCCTCCGACTAACGGTCGGTAAAGATGGCGGTCGCAAAATATCCTTTCGAGCCACAGTCGGTGTCATGTGTTGTAAACATTCAAAAATTGAAGTCAAAACTAATAAGGAACGAAAAAAGTGTTACATCAAATCGACTACTTACCGATAATTGTATGCCTTTATATCTGGAAATTATGGCACAGAAGTTGTAAATAGTGATCGAAAATCTGCTGTTTGCGCCTGCTACGCTATTGAAACTCGGCTAAGTACAATCGGAACAAGGCGCGGCTCGTACCAGATGGTAATGCAGCTTTCTCTTTAGTACAAAGCATTCAAAACCGGCTATCCTCCGAATAACGAGCACAATAGATGCCGGCCAATGGCGGCCAAAAACAGGGCCTCAGTCACGTGTCAATTGCGCACTTCCGGCGACCTAATTTGCGCTTTTCTGGCGATTACTGCCACCGCCGAGAGTGGCCCCCAGCCGCTCACTCGGCGTGGATTGGGGCTAAACTAGATGGCTAGGACTCACGAGCAAAGCTGCAGGAGATGCGGAAGCTGCTGCTCGTAGGTCCCAGCCATCTAGTTTAGCCCCACCCACGGGTAGTGGCAGGGGGGAGACTCTCGGCGGTTTGTTCCGTTTCTCGAAATTGTCAACAGACACTAATCCTAGTTTTACCGCGATGTGCTCGTGACCGTAAGTGCCCAATTGACACGTGACTGGCTCGAAAGGACATTTTGCGGCCGCCATCTTTACCGACCGTTAGTCGGGGGATAGCCATATATATATATATTTATTTATTTAAAATAAAAACTATTTTTTTAAAATTAACTCTTTGAGTCCCAGGGGGTTTAGCCTCACAGGCCCAAAGAGAGACATAAAATTGGCGCAACATGCGTTAATTGGGCTTCTAGGTTGGAACCTATGAACGTATGATGCGTTACTTGGGACTTCTTCTTTTGTTCGCCTGAAATAAGTTGTCTATATCAGCAGTTTTGTCTCTTGTATAAATTTCACTGTCGTTGTTAGTTCATTCAGTGGTCCATAGAGTTTACATTCCACTGTTGTTCTTTCTGGCCAAAAGGTTTGCCTTAATGTGTCAAATTCGGTGCAGTCCTGGAGTACATGCTCTGCTGTCTGGGGCACCTTTCCACAGGTGAACATGGCTGATACACCTATCTTGAATTTTGTGTACATGTGGTTACGTAATCGGTTGTGCCCTGTACTGAGGCGGAGGATAATGACTTGTTCTGGTCTGTCCATAATAAAAAGTCCTCTTGTGCAGAGGCTGGTGGTTTCCTGATAGATTTAATGATTCTTCTCTTTTGGTGGTATGTGACTGGTATATCCGGCTGCACCTTTGTCGCACCTTCCCCTGCCAGTTGATCAGCTTTCTCATTTCCAGGCACTCCACAATAACACAGTATCCACTGCATTACAACTCTTCGCTGAAGGCTGAGTTGAGTCAGCAGTGTTTGCAATTCTGGTAGTTTCCTAGACTGGGACTTTAAGAGTTAACACCGTTGAGGGTTTCTTGGAAAGGGAAAACTAAACAGAGGTTGAGGTATAAAGTGCCGAAGGCGCGAAGGTTTAACATTGCTTGTAATACTAAAAATGTGAAAGTAAAAATCATAAGGCATTGTAAGGGGAAATAAACAAAATGTATTGCATATCACGTAAATATCATAAAAGCAGTTACGGATTCCAGCTCATAGCAAATTTTAACCCCCCCCCCCCACACACCGCCATAGTTACTCCCTTCCAGTGCTAACGAAAACAACACACACAATGCCAAAATGCTGTCCCTTATGATTTGATTTAAAAAAAGAATTGGGTCATATCAATATATTGAGGGAATGGAATGGTATTTTAAAATACTGGGCAAGAGGTTAGAGAGTTGCAGACAGATATATGTTTGTGTCCACACAATATGTAGATAGTTGATATTCCTTACATCGGCTTCATTAAAATATACACTGGACAGAACTATGTTTATGTTTATTCAACGTATCAACATCATCGCACACGGATGTAACCCATAAGTGCTCTGTTCAACTTCTGACTCAAGCTTGAATCTGAAGTATATCAGCACAGTGCACAAACTCTGTTGAGAAAGATATAGAGATACTGATGTGCAAAAGCTGTGTTAAAGAGAACCAAAAACCAGACTGTAATTTACCACATGCTGACATTAAATTCTTTCCAGTGGTCACAACATGTTCTATTTTCCCTCTTCTCATAACATGGCCGAAAAATGATGACTGTCTCCTTCTTATGTCTGTGATAAGCTGTCTTCGGGCTCCTGCTTCTTTTAAAACCTCTTGGTGTTAAATATATACAGCATATACAACTTTTAAAAATCTGATATTTTTACAAGTTTGGCACTGTTTAAGTCTGGAGGTTGCCAGATTTTGTTATATCAGTTAGTACTTCATTTATGTTGCACATGTTATTTACTAATTGACTAATGTACTTATAGCCTCAACGCAACAGAAACCAGTGGGTGCTTCAGCAGAGAAAAAATTGAAAGTTGAACCACCAAAGATTGATGGATTTGAGGTCCAGTTTGAGTGGCAAGGGGATCAAGGAAAGTGGGTTCGGTTTACCAAAAAATTCAATAAACTGCTAACAGAAGAGTATAATAAAGGAAAGAAGCAGGTTAGTATTGTAATTCTGTTTCCATTAACTTTATAATCTGGAAGATATTTTGTCCTATTTTGTGGTTTTTAAATTTTTCAATTTGAGTAATTTTTGTAGTAGGTAACAATTTGTACGTGTGACCACCAGGCTGGCAAATGTCATAACAGGCGACTAAGAAAAATCTGAGTGAGACCTGTCTTGAAATAAAAAAATTTAAACAAAAATAATTTGCTTATAGCAATAGTTACTAGTTAGAATGTTATTAGAAAGGAAAAACTGGAGTGTCAAGAATGTTAGGAAAGTTGGATGAGAGAAAGGCATAGGGGAGTATCAGGAAAGTTGGAGGAGAGGAAGGCATGGGGGAGTTTCAGGAAAGTTGGAGGAGAGAAAGGCATGGGGGAGTATCAGGAAAGTTGGAGGAGAGAAAGGCATGGGGGAGTATCAGGAAAGTTGGAGGAGAGAAAGGCATGGGGGAGTATCAGGAAAGTTGGAGGAGAGGAAAGCATGGGGGAGTATCAGGAAAGTTGGAGGAGAGGAAAGCATGGGGGAGTATCAGGAAAGTTGGAGGAGAGGAAAGCATGGGGGAGTATCAGGAAAGTTGGAGGAGAGAAAGGCATGGGGGAGTATCAGGAAAGTTGGAGGAGAGGAAAGCATGGGGGAGTATCAGGAAAGTTGGAGGAGAGAAAGGCATGGGGGAGAATCAGGAAAGTTGGAGGAGAGGAAAGCATGGGGGAGTATCAGGAAAGTTGGAGGAAAGGAAAGCATAGGGAGTATCAGGAAAGTTGGAGCAGAGAAAAGCATGGGGAGTATCAGGAAAGTTGGAGGAGAGGAAAGCATGTTGGAGTATCAAGAAAGTTGGAGGAGAGAAAAGCATGGGGAGTATCAGGAAAGTTGGAGAGAAACGCATGGGGGAGTATCAAGAAAGTTGGAGGAGAGAAAAGCATGGGGAGTATCAGGAAAGTTGGAGGAGAGGAAAGCATGGGGGAGTATCAGGAAAGTTGGAGGAGAGAAAGGCATGGGGGAGAATCAGGAAAGTTGGAGGAGAGGAAAGCATGGGGGAGTATCAGGAAAGTTGGAGGAGAGGAAAGCATGGGGGAGTATCAGGAAAGTTGGAGGAGAGAAAGGCATGGGGGAGAATCAGGAAAGTTGGAGGAGAGGAAAGCATGGGGGAGTATCAGGAAAGTTGGAGGAAAGGAAAGCATAGGGAGTATCAGGAAAGTTGGAGCAGAGAAAAGCATGGGGAGTATCAGGAAAGTTGGAGGAGAGGAAAGCATGTTGGAGTATCAAGAAAGTTGGAGGAGAGAAAAGCATGGGGAGTATCAGGAAAGTTGGAGAGAAACGCATGGGGGAGTATCAAGAAAGTTGGAGGAGAGAAAAGCATGGGGAGTATCAGGAAAGTTGGAGCAGAGAAAAGCATAGGGAGTATCAGGAAAGTTGGAGCAGAGAAAAGCATGGGGAGTATCAGGAAAGTTGGAGGAGAGAAAAGCATGGGGGAGTATCAGGAAAGTTGGAGGAGAGAAAGGCATTGGGGAGTATCAGGAAAGTTGGAGAGAAAAGCATGGGGGAGTATCAGGAAAGTTGGAGGAGAGGAAAGCATGGGGGAGTATCAGGAAAGTTGGAGAGAAAAGCATGGGGGAGTTTCAGGAAAGTTGGAGCAGAGAAAAGCATGGGGAGTATCAGGAAAGTTGGAGGAGAGGAAAGCATGGGGAGTATCAGGAAAGTTGGAGCGGACACACACAAAAATCACACAGTTTAGCATCATGGCATTTAGGAACATCTCTTACAATGATTCATAGTGCCCGAGACTGCAGTATGGAGCGGAAACATGAACAACACTAAGACAATAATAATTTACAAACATTCATTAACTGGAGCCTGCGCAGAATAGAGGAAATGATATGATAGAATCACTAATACTGAGCTTTGGGGGAGAAATAAGCAAGCTCCGATGGACCAAGAGGTGAAGAAAAGAGGCTGACTTTGGATAGGACACGCACTGAGGAATCCTGAGAACAGTATAACTAGAATATTTTGCACTGGAACTCACAAGGGCATAGAAATAAAGGAAGACCAAAAAACATATGGAGAATTGAGCTAGAGAGCAAAGTTAAAAAGGTGGGGATAGCTGCATGTGATAGCGAAGGATAGAATGACTTGGCATGAGTTGGTTGAGGACCTAGGCTCCACTGGGGTTTAGAAAGACATAAGAAGAAGAAGAGAGACTGCAGGCTGTGCACAGACATGATGACTACAGCCATGGACTATAACATATGTGAAGAAGATTAAATCTAGCTAGTTTCGGTTGTGACACTCTAGAGACCTGGTCTCCTACAGCTTAGTTAAAATACATTGGTTCTGTTCGCACTTGCACATTGTTTAATAGGCCAAGAAATGAATATAGTAACTGAAAATAACATTGGGGTGGGGGTGGGGGGGAGTCTTGTGACCTCAAAGGCTTTTTTAAAGCGATGTTGATGTCAAATTTTCCTGTAAGCTGCAGCGATAGAGTTCACGTAGTCACAGCTTAAGTCATCTGATACATATTATATTTTGGGCCGCAGGGAATGTATTCCATTTAATTCTTCACTCTGTTCATATTTATTGATTACCCTTTATGAATCTTTATATGTTTGGACAAATTTATAAAATGTACATGAAAAAAATTTGAAAGAAACATTAGTAACCTGTGTAAAATGGTGTTTCTTTAAGGATGTCTCCTGTAAATTAACATTGATGCATGACATATTTTATTCAGTATTTGTAGAGTGAAGGGGTTAAGATAAGAAAGATTTTAGGGAATTAAATTGTCAACAGTTTCAGCCATTAAAATATTAAACAGCTTGTGGTCTTTCATTTGCCTTTACTTTGAACTTAAATTGTTAAAATGGCATTGATTTGGAATTGCTATACATTTACAGACATTCCACATTAAAATGTTATCTATAAAATTATAACCGCAGGTAGAACTGGTTGTACCAACTGGAGCAACACTGATGATCAATTTTGAGAAAATGATTCAGAAAAATAAGAAGACAGGATATCAAAGACGGATTCGTGTTGCACTAAGGAGTGATAAGGACACAGGTAATATAAAAGAATATGTAAATGAGATTGAAACTTAACAGTTGGTCTCAATACTCGCTTAACAAAATTTTGTCCGGACACTATGAGCACTGCCAGGTTTCAATATTTGTTGAATAGTTGTAATTAAGTTGGCTATTTGATTTTTCTGTTCTGGTGTTAAAAAATTTTTATAAAATAAAATTTAACATTCTTAGAATACCTAACGGTCACTACTGTCTGTTTTTACCACCTTTTTAGGGTGATTGTGTAAACGGGTGGGGGGAGGGGGGGTTGTCGTGAGCCTGAGGATTTAGGACCGCATGGCTAGTGCTGTTGCCACGGACTGTGCAGGTTAGGATGTTTAATTTTGCCTCCGACAGAAAAGAAACCATCACCTCACTTGGGTTCGCACCCGGGTCTTCTGCATGAGAGCGTTCCTTGGGACTCAAAGAGTTAAAAACTTATCTGGCGGGAAAAGACACAAACAAAATGGTTGTTCACTTAGAAAGAGTTGTTTATTCACTTTATTTTATGCAATTTTTATTGTAGCATGCACCTGGCCATGTACAACAAAATATGCCAGGCAGTACATTGTGCATTCTACTGTTTGTATGTTTATTCAAATTTACGGCGCAGTAACATTGCTTTGATTAACTTCTTCTTCTTCTTCTTCTCTTCCACCTTGTACCTCATCGAAGTGCCGGGGGGAAATGTAATGTTCGTTGATGGGCTCTGTCAAGAGCACTATTAAGACTGATGTTCATTTCTATAAGGCTGTTCTTAATGCCATCACTTCATCTTTTCCAAGGTCTTCCACTCGCTCTATACCCGTTGTAACGTTTTAGTGTGGCTCGCTGTGGCAGATAGTACCAGGGCATTCTTGTTAGGTGTACCAAACCACTTGATTTGTTGTTCTTTGATGACCTGTAAGACTGGCTTTATTCCTAGCATTCGTCTGATTTCATGATTTCATATTCTGTCTTTCCTTGAAACTCCTGCAGCTCTTCTAAGGCATTTCATCTCTGTTGTCACAATTTTACGTTCGTTGGAGGATGTAAGTGTCCACGTTTGGCATTCATAGCATAGTGTTGGCCAAAAAATAGTTCTGATAAGATTCACTTTAGTACTCCGAGGAATCTGCTTGTGAGTCAACAGGGGAAATAGTTGCCCTTTTACTTGATTAGCTTTGGCACATCTGGAGATAATTTTTCTGTCCAATTTTATGTCGGATGTGAAAATTGCTCCCAAATACTTAAATTCCTCTGTTTGTCTCAGGGTGTTGTTTTTTTATTTTTATTTCTAAATTGTCTTTATGTTTTCCTATCATCATTGTCTCTGTCTCCGTAGTGTTTATTTTCATATTATATTTCCTCCCCTTTGTTACTAATTTGATTTAAGTGGTTCTGTAGGCATTCCGTATTTTCTGCTATGAGTACCTGGTCGTCGGGGAATAGTAATTCTGTAAAATCTTCTTCATGATTAAAGTTCATTTCGCTACATATGGTATCCATGTATGTTATAAAAAAAAAGCGGCGATAGTACACAGACCTGACGCACACCAGAGTTTACTATAAAAGTTCTTGACAGCCCTGCCTTCGATCTTATGCAGCATTTACTATGTGTGTACAGGCTTTTGCAAATATTAATGAGATGATTGCTGTTCCCTTTTTTTCCCTTTTTTTTTTGATTAACTGATTTGTTAAAATATATTTATTTTTCTTGATCACTTCAGATTTTAACGTTCTGGAATGGCAAGACAAAAATAATACATGGAATCCTTACCCCATTCAGAACAGTATTCAGTTGGAACAAATTTTTCAGTCGGGGTCACAACTTGGCGTGATCAAATCTCCACCCAACAGTAGCAACTCTGAAGAAATAGACCTGAATAAAATGACATCAACAAATTTGAAGAGCAAGCTTTTTACATCAATTAGACGACAGAATCCAGGTAAATGTTGTCTTAAAATTTTCCCAGTGTGAGTTTTGGGGCTGAATTATGGGGAAAACAAGAAAAGACCCACTGTCTCCCCAATCAGGCGTCATAGGAGTCAACTAACTGGCCCAAGCGCCAAGGAACAACCGACTGCACACAGATACCAGTAAAATGGATGTACGCGTAAAACTCAGGCCCTGGCACAAAGCCAGAGTCCAGATGGACGAACAATGAGGAAGAAGAAGAAGAAGTCCTGGTATATCATTAACACCAACACCCAGTCCGAAGAGCTGGGCACACTGGGATTTTACCTGATAGAGCTGTTGAGGTTTTATAATTATAACTTAAAAGGATGAACGAGGTATCTGGATTTTGATCTCATTAGATTGACATAAAAACATAGATCATCAGGTTGCTGTATTGTCAGCCTTCAGATAGCAAAGGCGCTGCATGGTCTCCAGGCATGGTGTCCACCTCAAGTGCTAGGGGTTCCGGGTTCAATCCCCGGTAAGGGCTGGGATTTTTTCACGGGGATTTGGAATTCTAGTAATTCCCCCTGGTCTCTGGGTAGTGAAATCGGACGCCTGTGTGCATTGTTGCGCACATAAAAAATCCATTGGCAGTTGGAAATCAAAAAGATTAGCCAAACGGCGCTGCCCGGGCAAAATTTTGAGTTAATAATCTACCTGAAATATTTCAGGATCCTCGCCAGTACTACAGAGCCTGTGCACTATGCTGAGCTTCTTTGGACTTGAGTTAGCAGAAGAACAGAGCACTTATGGGTCTGTTGCACTTATTAATCTGTTGTTCAAAACCTCAGGTAGCAAACAAGAAGGGCTTTATATCACTGGGAAATTCATCAAAGTTAAAATAAACCCATATTTGCTCTGTTTCTGTGTCAGTGAAAATCAAATGAAATGTCCCTCAATGTCCCATTTGAAAAACTGGTAAACAATAAGTCCTGGCAGAATCCAAAAATATATGCGTGCAGTAAATGCATTAGGCACTTGCTAGAGGCGCCAGAGCTAACAGTTGCTACCAGAAATGTAGTTTGTCATTGATGGAGGTAGTGTCATAAGGTGGTTATAAACATGTAAAATTATTACATAAAGTATTTTGTCAGCCCACACGTAAACTGGCTACCACTCCTATTGAATATCACGACTCACCCACTAAACAAATGAAAGGCATTCCACATGAAAGACACAGCTCACAGTGCTGCTTCAAGCACTTAACTCAGTAGCCTAGGCAGCGAAACTGTAGACTTTGTTCATGTGTGGAATTCGCAAAGTGCTGCCAGAAGCAAAAATAATTTCGAAGCTAAGCATTCAGCCATGCCTAATCCTCCAAAATGGACCAGAAGTCACTGCTTGATACCAAACATAGAATATTTATTTCTTAGCATCAAATCATTACTGCTGTATGGAGTAGAAACATAGAGAATAATAAAAACATTTACCATCTGCGTTAACATTGATTTATTATGCCTGCACATAAGAGAAGGATTGCAACATTACAACACAGTCACTTATAAAGAGCTAAGGGAGGGAATTAACCAAGTTGCCATAGAAACCCAGGGAGCTTTGATCCCAGGAATTAACTACAAAATTAAGAAAGCAAAAACTGTTACACATGTCACTAATAGACATTTAAAAAGAAAAGTTTATATTTCCCTGTGTGGATTCTGGGGCCCTTTTTTTTGGGGTGGGGGGATATACCCAGTGCCTCTATAACAATTATGTTGTAAAGGTTCAATAATTAAGGGTGTTTCTTTTGTAGTCGGTGTGCATCTGCTTGAGAAGTTATCGAGATCTAATTATAGTTATCTCCTTGTGAAATGCAATGTTTCATTATTTTGAAGCCCCACCCTGGCTTTTGCCAGGGAGTGGCAATATAGCCCAGTCGTAAATATAGTCTAATGGCTGAACGTGTTTTCTGGGACCTCTCCACGGTGATCCTCATCCACATGGTGGCACATTGTGTCATCGGGTGTTTTTCGCTTGTGTGATATCCTAGTCTGCTTGAGAAGTGATGAAACAGTAGTCTGCATACAAATAGGAAAGATCTGTCAAATGGGTGTGTATGCAAAACTCATTTTCAGGAACAAAACTCAAGAAGTGGACGAATAACCAGAAATTTCTACCAGAATTATGTGTGATGCATTTAATGATGAAGCCGGCCTGGATTTTCTTGAGCATATTCATTGAATCGCCCCTAGTCTGCAGAGTTAAATAATATTATCCCCGTGTGGGTTCTGGGGCCCTGTTAAAGGGAAAACAAGAATAGACCCACTGCCTACCCAAAAGCATGTCGTAAGAGTCGACTGATTGGAAGCTTCCTTCAAAGTCAGAGGGCATCTGCCTGAGAGGCAAGGAACCAGCAGTCTGCATACAGATGAGTCAGATCTGTAAAACAGATGCACACGTAACGCTCAGGCTCTGGAACAGGACTGCAGTCCAGAAGTGGACGAACAACCAGAACTTTCTGCCAGAGTTAACAGCTGGTGAATGCGAAGAAGAATATTAGAGGACATGGAATGAATTTTGGATAAAGGCACAGAACAGATAAATATCTTTTTTTTTTCAACGTAGTATTATTTACCTTTGGATTGTTTTTACTGTTACTTGTGAGATTTTATTGTGCTTAAATACTTTTCACTATTTTCCATATTTATTTTTACACTTTTTTTAATGGGATATTTTCAGTCTGGTTAATTGATCATTGGAATTTGTTTTCAGTGAGTGACATTCCACCAGATTATGAAGACGAAGAAGAGAAAAACACAGAAGAAGAGCAGGAAGAAAAAGATAGTGGAACAAAGACAAGTGGTCGAGCCAAAGGCAGAAGTGGGGGCAAAACCAAAAAGGCTACCACTGAAGAGGAAAACACAAAAGAAGAGGAGGGAGAAGAAGAGAATGGAACAAAGAAAAGTGGTAAAGCCAAAGGCAGAAGTGGAGGCAAAACCAAAAAGGCAGCCAGTGATGAGGGACCTTCTAAATCTACTGGTAATTTCTCATGTTTCATTGACTACATTAGAAGTAGTAAAGTTTTACCTGTTACAATGCCACTTTAGCATGTTTCTATGCTGACACTACAAGTGTCTAAATAAAAAAGTGGCAGTATTCACCATAAAAGAGCCATCATGGTGTAGTGGCTAGCTGCTAGCGTGTGGATGTGAAGGTTATGTAGGCTCAAGTCCATGAGGAGATTGACATTAAAAAAATTACCTTGGTACCCAGGTCGACCCAGTCTAAAATACCAGGTAAAGTCCTGGGAAGTAAAGGTGGCTGAATGATGTTGGCCACACCTCCCAAAGAGTCCAGATTGGTGATCTAACAAAAAATATAGATCTGACACTATGTGCCTAATGAGGAGCCGCCGTGGTGTTGCAGCTAGACACTTGCCTGCGGATCCGAAGGTTGTGGGCTCAGGTCCCGGCGGAACCTGCCCTTTTAAAAAAATGACCTTGACTGCTAGGTCGACCCCGTCTAAAATGGGTACCAGGTAAAATCTTAGGAAGTAACGTTGGCCAGCGTGATGTTGACCTCATAACCCACCAAATGCTGATTGGTCCATAAAATATAGGTCGCACTATATGCCCAGTATATGTTTGAAGTTTACAGCTGAGGAATGCAAAGAAGAAGGAGGAGGAGAAGAAGAAACTATTTTGGACTTTCTTCCCATGTTCTGTTAGTTAGATTGTTGAAGAATATATTCATTGTTCCTATGTGCATTTCCACCTTCTGTGGTGTATTTTTCCTGGAAATGAAATGATTGTGTGTGTGTGGGTGAGAATATGTATTGATGAAAAAAAATGTCAGTATATTATGATGCAGGGAGTTAAACTGCATATACCTTAAAAATGTGACCAAAAACAAATTAATGCAATGAATTAAAATGAAGGCAGTGGAGAAATATGATTATTCATGCTGCTTTATAAGGAAGAAAGATAAAATTTGTCACACGTGTTAAGGCATCATCATAATTAAACAGGAAAGTTTAGTATACAAATGTTAACTGCATTCAAAAACAAATGCCTAAGGAATTTGATGAACATTAAATGGGATGAATTCAAGAATTCGAATCGTTATAAGACAAAGTCAATGGTTTGGTATTGAGCACATTCTGAGGAGAAGCTAACCAAAATCACTAAACAGCACTTAAATGAGAAACAAATGGATTTAGGAAGCAAGGACGTCCAAAAGAAACCCTCAGACAGATTTTGAGGAGAGAGGCCAAAGGTGCTCGACTGAAATCCATCCTCAGATTTAGTTAAGGTTTTGCTGAAGTTGAATGTGTTGACAGAAAGGCACATATATTGCCACCTAGCTATTGACTACAACTCAGTATGCCAACTGCTTTTTTAAAATTCAACACAGAAGAATAAGAAGATTCCATCTATGATATTGAAACAGTTTTTTTCTCAGGTGAGTTCCGGGGCCCCATTTTGTACCACTGCCCCCCAACAATCATATTGTAAAAGGCGACTAATTAGGGGTATTTCCTTCAAAGTCAGAGTACATCTGCCTGAGAGATGAGGAACTAGTAGTCTGCACTGAATACAAATAAGCCAATTCTGTTAAATGGATGTGCACACAAAACTCAAGTTCTGGAATTAGACCAAAGTCCAGAAGGGGATGAAATTTTCGCTGGAGTTTGCAGCTGATGAACTTGAAGAAGAAGAATAAACAGTTGCTCAGAATTCATCGGATGGAAGAATAAACTACGAGCTCTATAGGACTATAATGACTGACTGACTGACTTTCTACCCCACCAGGACATCACACAAGCGATAAACACCCGTTGACACAATGTGCAACCATGTGGGTGAGGATCACTGTGGAGAGGTCCCAGAAACCGCATTCAGCCAATTGGCCATATTTATGGCCTGGCTATATTGCGGCCCCTGGCAAGAACCAGAGTGGGGCTTCAAATGACCAAAAATTTCATCCTAAAAGGGATGGTAAATGCACTACTAGGACTATAATGGCCCAGCAGCAGCATGATGATTATGA